CCAGAGCTGTGCCGGCAGTTCGTCCCGCCGTCTCTGATTGGCTACTACTCCCCCGTCCTCTCAACCAATGGCGTTCTTTGCGTCACCCGTTGCCACCCGCTTTCCTCCGAGCCCCTCCCGTGCGTGCACGGAGCATGCGCAGTGAGCGACGACGGGCCGCAGTGCGAGTGAGGCCTTAAAGGGGCAGCGACCCTAAATGGGGTCTGGGGGGTGGCTGTGGCTGTGGGGTGGCTGTGGGGTCCCTATGGGGTCTGTATGGCTTTGGGGTCTCCATGGGGTGTCTATGGCTATGGGGTCTGTATGGGGTCTGTATGGGGTCTCCATGGTTATGGGGTCTCTATGGGGTCTTTATGGGGTCTCTATGGCTATGGGGTCTCTATGGGGTCTCTATGGGGTCTCCATGGTTATGGGGTCTCTATGGGGTCTCTATGGGGTCTCCATGGTTATGGGGTCTCTATGGGGTCTTTATGGGGTCTCCATGGTTATGGGGTCTCTATGGGGTCTCTATGGCTATGGGGTCTCTATGGGGTCTCTATGGGATCTCCATGGTTATGGGGTCTCTATGGGGTCTTTATGGGGTCTCTATGGCTATGGGGTCTCTATGGGGTCTCCATGGTTATGGGGTCTCTATGGGGTCTCTATGGCTGTGGGGTCCCTATGGGGTTTCTCTGGGGTCTCTGTGGGGTCTCTGTGGGGTCTCTGTGGGGTCTCAATGGGGTCTCTCTGGGGTCCCTATGGGGTTTCTCTGGCCTCTTTCTGGGCTCCCTCTGGGGTCTCTATGGGGTCCCTGTGGGATCCCTATGGGGTCCCTATGGGGTCTCTATGGCTATGGGGTCCCTATGGGGTTTCTATGGACTCTTTCTGGGCTCCCTCTGTGCTCCCTCTGGGGTCCCTATGGCGTCTCTATGGGGTCCCTCTGGGGTCTCTGTGGGGTCTCTATGGGGTCCTTATGGGGTCTCTATGGGGTGTCTATGGCTATGGGGTCTCTATGGGGTCCTTCTGGGGTCCCTATGGGGTCTCTATGGGGTCCCTATGGGGTTTCTCTGGGCTCCCTCTGGGCTCCCTCTGGGCTCTCTTTGGGGTCCCTCTGGGGTCCCTATGGGTCCCTATGGCGTCTCTATGGGATCCCTATGGGGTCTCTATGGGGTTTCTCTGGCCTCTTTCTGTGCTCCCTCTGGGGTCCCTGTGGGCTCCCAGTGGGGTCCCTATGGGGTCCCTGTGGGGTCTCTATGGGGTCTCTATGGGCTCCCTATGGGCTCCCTATGGGGTTCCTATGGGGTCCCTATGGGGTCTCTGTGGGGTCCCTATGGGGTCTCTCTGGCCTCTTTCTGGGCTCCCTCTGGACTCCCTGTGGGGTCCCTCTGTGCTCCCTATGGGGTCCCTATGGGGTTTCTGTGGCCTCTTTCTGTGCTCCCTATGGGGTCCCTCTGGGGTCCCTCTGGGGTCCCTATGGGGTTTCTCTGGCCTCTTTCTGGGCTCCCTCTGGGCTCCCTGTGGGGTCCCTCTGTGCTCCCTCTGGGGTCCCTATGGGGTCCCTATGGGGTCCCTGCGGGGTCCCTATGGGGTCTCTATGGGGTTTCTGTGGCCTCTTTCTGTGCTCCCTCTGTGCTCCCTCTGGGGTCTCTCTGGGGTCTCTATGGGGTCCATATGGGGTCTCTCTGGCCTCTTTCTGGGCTCCCGCTGTGCTCCCTCTGGGGTCCCTATGGCGTCTCTATGGGGTCTCTATGGGCTCCCTATGGGGTCTCTATGGGGTCTCTATGGGGTTTCTCTGGCCTCTTTCTGGGCTCCCTATGGGCTCCCTATGGGGTTCCTGTGGGGTCCCTGTGGGGTCCCTATGGGGTCTCTATAGGGTTTCTGTGGCCTCTTTCTGTGCTCCCTCTGTGCTCCCTCTGGGGTCCCTCTGGGGTCCCTCTGGGGTCTCTATGGGCTCCCTATGGGGTCTCTATGGGGTCCCTATGGGGTCTCTCTGGCCTCTTTCTGGGCTCCCTCTGGACTCCCTGTGGGGTCCCTCTGTGCTCCCTATGGGATCCCTATGGGGTCCCTATGGGGTCTCTATGGAGTTTCTCTGGCCTCTTTCTGTGCTCCCTCTGGGGTCCCTCTGTGCTCCCTCTGGGGTCCCTGTGGGGTCCCTGTGGGGTCCCTGTGGGGTCCCTGTGGGGTCTCCACGCCGCCCCCGTCCCGTGTCACAGCTGCAGTGACCCCGGCTCCTTCTGGTACCTGGACTCGTCGTGCAGCTCCAGGCTGAGCAAAGTGGGCTTGGCTCTCGGGCTCCCCCTGGCGGCGCTTTGCGTCGGTGCAGCGGGCTGCGGGGCGGCGCTGCTGAGGAGCAGGAGGCTGCGCAGGGCGGACAGGTTGTGGGGCGGGGGG